GCTTTAGGCCAATGCTTTTTCCTGCTAGATCTTTGAAAGCATTTCAGAAGTTTTGTTGTTTGTAACTTCTTCAAGCAACAAACAGGAAACATTTCTGATCTCAAAAAGAAGATTTATTGGCTTGTTTTCACTTTCCTTTTGGAATCCTTACACTTCACCTGGCATTCCAGAAAATCATGAAAATCCGACATAATGGTAGGGGAAGTTCCTGAATTGACTGTTTGTCAGAAAGACTTCCTTTGCATACACACGAGGAACTGGTCCTGTACCATAAGGAGACGCAGTGTTTTCCCTGACTGGACATCACAAGATGACGTTATACACTCCACTGTGCTGAAACACTTCTGTTGCCTGGTAATTACAAAGCCTCAAGCTCTTCTAGAGGCTTTCCCTGGTGCAACTTCATGAGGTCCCTCTCTGCTCAACTCTCGAGCCTGTCCAGCTCTCACGGAAGGGCAGCACAGCCTTGTAGACCCCTGCTCCCGGTTCTGTCCCATCAGCAAACGTGCTGAGGGAGCACTCCATCCCTTCTGCCAGGTCACTGGGGAATAAGGCAAACAAGGCTGGCCCCAGCACGGCCCCCTGAGCTCACAGCTACCTGAGTTTGCAGCTCCACTGCGCACTTCTCTACCCCACTGTCCCTGAGCTGCCTCAGGAGCGCCACAAGGGAGGCAGGGACAAAGGCTTGCTGAAGTCCTGGCTGACAAGAGCCACCGCTCAGCACTAGGACACTGCATCCTCCCCCAGCATTGAGGCCAGCTGAGGACTGAGCTCTCCATTTCAACACAAAATTCTGTCCTACCTCTAAGGCGTTCATGATCATCTGAGAAGAAGAAAAATCTAGCACTTTCTGTGCGTGGTAAAGAAAGAAACCCAGGCAAGTACAAAGAGATTTTAGCATCCTAAATTGTACTATGAAATTCCATGCGCATGACTTGAAACTGTAGTGCTTCAGAGAAATTGTATACATTGAAAAACTTTATTCCCTAGTACCCAAATAGAGCTTTTGATTTTACAAAAGCCACTTTGAAAGTGAAAACTGACTGTGTCTTTGGCTTTTGGCCAAACTCCGTTTGGAGTTGGTCAAACCCAAATGACCCGGAAAATTTCTTGTGCTCTACTTCTCTTTTTCCACATTCAACTTCACAGCAAACGGCCTGCTGGGCGTTTTGACTCTGTGCAGCACAAATGGTTTTCCAAGATAGCTTTCAGGGGCGTGCAATGTCATTTTCCCACTTGCTGAGTGCTGCTGTTAATATTGACACAGCATCCAGCTACTATCGCCAAGGAGACAACAAAGAGCAATGGAACTTGCATTTCTCAGTCCTTTTCAATTTCTGACATCTCGGGCTCCTCATCACCCTCAGAACTGCAGTCTTGGACACGTCGATCCTCTTGCCATGTGACTTTTATCGGTTTTGTTGTTCCAAGTACGTAAGGCTCTGCGATAACAGCAGCAATAGAGAAAAAAGGCCAAAAAAAGATTATTCCTCTGCTGGGCAGGAAAAAATTCCTCCTTTCAAGTGAAATACACTGGAAAAAATAGATTTCGGAAGGACAGAATCATTTTCTGCCAGATTTTCTGAGCTGTATCTGTGCTTCAGGATTTTCCCCTTAGTTCTA